TATTTTTGTTACGTCCTGCTTTAAGTTGTTAAACAATTTCTATCAACTCTTTATATTGTACATCAGATAAAAAACTAGTACCTATCTATATTAATAGCCTAATTTTTACGATTTGTATGTAGTTAATTTTAAAAATTTGACTTCGTACTAATCGTACCCACAATAAAGCCACACTGCGACAAGACATAAAAATGACGATAATGTAATAAAATTATTAGTACATTCATATTATAATAATTCTTCAGAATTATTATTAAAGTAGGATAACCTTATCTTTACTGTTTCAAATCGTCCCACATGATACGCACATTTACGATAGACTACGAGTAAGTCGTTGATAATAGGCGATAACCAATTTTGTTTATCATATTTCCACCTCAGGAATTATACATAATACCTAGGCAAAGCTCGTATTATGTATATGACCGAGTAATTTTTGGTATTTTATATAGTGCCTAAGTATTTTGCTAAGTACCGGGTTATCTATAAGTGTTGAACTTATAAGTTTAGTATAACTGTATAATATATGGGCGTGCGTGTGGTGGGGGAGGTATCTATACATATATAATAATATGTTTGGCATATTATTGTGTAATAACACTATAATCATATTATATTATAATGTTTAACGTCATTTGTTTTTGTGAACCACAGGTGTCCAATCACACGTACACGTGCTACTTCCCCGGCCAGGAATTGGTCATCCGGCTGGTGGCCAACGGTTGGCTGCACAAGGGCGTCATCGTGTGTCCGGCGTGCGAAGAGCTGTGCGGCGGGTCGGACGACAACAAGTGCAAACCGCCGTCGGACGTGCCACTCACCGTACCGTATCACCGCGAACAGCTAGCGTGCGGCAGCACGGCCACAGTCTCCGTCACGGCAGCGGCCGTGGTCACCACGGTAACCGTCGCCACGCTGTTACTCATGATCTCGACGTGAACAAACAACTACGATATGTTAATATTATGTACATATCGTATATTTTATCTCACTCTCTCTATCTCTATTTATCTCTATCTCTTTCATTATCTCCTCATATATCTATCTCTTTCTATTTTTTGTTCGTATACCATCGTGTGTGTATATAATATTCCGTGTCTGTATATATATATATATATAAATAGTGATTTATGATCGTCATCGTAGTCGTCAACATTCCTAAATTGTTGTTGCACTTTTCCGGAGCGCGAATGTTATCGCACTCTGTAGGTTATTGCGCTGGATTTAACAATTACAAATATCGACTGCARTGTCGGTGTGTCGAAAACTATTGTTTTCAAACAACAACAACTTACTATAATATATTAATGTTATTATAAATATTGAGTCAACGCGATATGTGGCCAGAAAAACATTGCACCTCAGTCAAGTCGGTAGTGATTAACATAATCTTATTTGATCGGTTCGCGGATTTTTACGCGCGATTTAMCGACCAACCGTTCTGCTTCAGACTCTAAATTGTCTTTACGTTGATTGGATTTGAAATCGCTTATGCGTGTCCGCGGATGTTTTACGTTACATTGCAGATAAAAAATAAACATTAATAATATAGTGATGATATTTAACTTAACGACT